ACCACCACCACACACACATACTTACTGTCCACGGGAGCCTTTTCAAGCAGGCTGCTCCCACCCAGCTGCCTAAGATGGCTTCCTGTGAGACCTCCACCACATTCATTGATTCTAAAAAGTATCACTTTAAGAGAATGAGAAGACGAGCTACTAACTTGGAGAAAATATTTGAAAAACTCTTATGTGATAAAGGACTGTTATCCAAAATTTTAAAAGAACTTAAAACTCAGTAATAAAACAAACAGCTCAATTTGAAAGTGGACAAAACATCTGAATAGACAAAAGAAGATATACAGATGACAAATAAGCATATGAAAAGATGTTTAGCATCATATGTCATTAAGAATTGCAAGTTAAAACAACAATGAGAGACCACTACACACCTATTGGAATGGCCAAAATCCAAAACTGTGGCAACATCAAAGTTTGACAAGGGTGTGGAGCAACAGGAACCCTTTTTTCTTGCTGGTGGGAATGTAAAATGGTACAGCCACTTTGGAAGACAGTTTGGCAGATTCTTACAAAACTAACCATACTCTTATCCTATGTTCCAGCAATCACACTCTTTGGTATTTAACCAAATGAGTTGAAAACTTATATCCATACAAACCTTTGCACAATATTATTCATAAACACCAAAAGTTGAAGAAGGGAACCAAGATGTCCTTCAGTAGAGGAACAGATAAGCTGTGGTTCATTCATAAAATGGAATATTATTCAGCAATAAAAAGAAATGAGCTATCAAGCCATTAAAAGGCATGGAGGAATCTTAAATGCATATTACAAAGTGAAAGAAGCCAATCTGAAAAGGCTTTGTAATATATGATTCCAACTGTATGACATTCTGGAAAAGGCAAAGCTATGGAGACAGCAAAAAGATCAGTAGTTGCCAAGGGGTGGAGGTCAGGGAGGAAGGATAAGTAGGTGGAAGACAGAGCATTTTTAGGGCAGTGAAGCCACCTTGTAATGGTGAACACAATCATTTGTCAAAACCCATAGAACTTACAACACAATGAGTGAAGTCTACTGAAAACTATGGACTGTGGGTGACCATGATGGGTCAATGTAGGTTCATAATTGTAACAAATGTACTTCTCTGGTAAGGGATATTGAGAGTAGGGAAGTCTGGGGGTGGGGACAGGAGGTATATGGGAACTCTCTGTGCTTTCTGCTCAGTTTTTCTGTGAACCCCAAACAGCTCTAAAAAATAAAGTCTATTTTTTAAAAAAAGTATTACTGGACTTCTTCAGATGAAAGTAGAGTATGTTTCCTACTGCCTGTTGCTGCAGAATTTAGCCAGCTCAGTACCCTTCCTCCCACATTTCTGTAACACAGAGGAGATAGTACACACCATTGGTTACACACAGCCTGTATTCTGCAGACCTTGGCTGATGACAGGGTGAGCAAGATACATTACGTGTCTCGGGGTAGCACCTATTAGCACCTGCTAAAAATTTTCGGCTAAAATTAAAGAGGGATGGTATCAGTAGATGGTATGTCATGATATAGTCATATAAGTCATAATTCCATGCATGAGTCCTGGAAGCATGGGTCTCCTTCCTCCTCACATCCTTATTCTTGGGTGTAGGTGCCCCCTTCTGCACAGTATTGTAGAAAAAAATGACAATAACTGAAGTTATAGCAGTAACTCACATTTTTAGGTAGTACTCCTGTTCCAGGAACTGTGCTAAACACATTCTCAAGCATTCTCAGTAACTTTAAGAATGTGGGAGACAAGCAGGATTGTCTGGTGAATTACCTGGGGCGCTCCTTCCAGTCGCCTGGCAAGAGGCTAGCTTGGAGGGATGCGAAGATCATCATCGTCTTTCTCCCAGCAGGACATGCCACTCCAGACAGAACTCAACTTCCCTAGTGACCAACGGCTTTCCAACCTCTCCTCCAAGTAAGAAAAGTAATGCCTGATCTCAGTATATTCCAAGGTCTCTAAATGCTGGGCTTCATGCTTTCCTAGCTACTGCGGTAAATGATTAGCACTCAAACTCAGACTGTCAAGGCCACAAAGCCACCTATACTTGCCGCCTAAAAGTCACAGCAATAGGAAGAGGGAGCCTTCTACAACCCCTCTTCAAGATGCTGAGAGAACAGGGAACCTATTCACCTGCTGACTCTTCCACCTGCTTCATCCCACAGCAAATGACCCACTAGAGTTTTCCCTAAGGGCTTTGCAAGAAAAGAATGTAAGCCCCATGACAGCAGGGACTTCAGCCGGCTCAGTGCTGGATCTCCAGGACCTAGAACTGTGCCTGACACACATAATAGATAAGGTTTTAATTGGTTTTATTATTTTTAGGTATGGTAAATCCAACAGATCAGGAAATGATTGCCACTGAAAAGATAGTTTGTTACAATTCCCAGAGAAGTGGGGGGCACACCATAACTACTTTGATATACTTCAGCAGCTTTACCAACTCCAACTATGTCAAATTGAGTGGGGTGAATTGGCCACATGGACAGCCAGTGCTGTAGAGAAATGATTGAAATGTCCGCTCCTGTATCTACCAAACCTTTAAATTTCTTTCCTTGAATAGTTATTTCACAGGTAGGATGTTTATCAGTAATTTGATCTACCCAATAAGCTGCTTTGCCTTGTTTATTTGTGCTTCCAAATCCTCCTGTTCATTTAATTTCACTTTTTCCCTTTCCCACATATGGCACAATCAGGAACTGTCCTATGTGCTCTCCTGGCTCTGCTTTCCAGGGAACAGAAGTAGATACAACAATTTGAATTTCCCCATTATAATCTGAATCAATGACTCCTGTATGTATTAGTACACCTTTTAATCTTACACTAGACCTTCCTAAAAGTAATCCTATTGTCCCTGCCGGCAAGGGTCCACAGACTCCTGTTGGGACCTTTTGCAGGGGTTCCTCAGGCAGAAGGCTCACAGCTTTTGTGCAGCATAAATCTACTGCGGCGCTACCGGCTGTGGCGGGGGACAGACATTGTACAGGGTGAGGGAATGGCCTGAGTTAGAAATGCCCTGGTTTAGAACAGGGCCCAGGACAGGCCCCTCATGGTGCTTCCCAAAATCGGGTTCCCATCTTTATCAAACTTAGAGTGACAATGACTAGCCCAGTGTTTTCCTTTTTCACATTTTGGACATATTTCAGGCTCAACAGTTTTCTTTTTTCCCCTACCTGGTGGCCTGACTCGCTGATTTTTTTCTACATTATTCTTTAGTATGAATAACTTGTCTAAATTCTTGGAGTAATTTAAAAGGAAAAGGCTCAACTGCAGCTATAGTATTTCCCTCTTGATCTGGAGGGTATATTCTAACAATGAACTGCCAAGCTTCTGAATCACCCTCTCGTCTAGCTTGCTGAATTCCTGCCTGAATAGAACTAAGAGCAGTCACTCAAGGCACGGCTCAGTCACTGGGGCAACTACTTTCCGCCCAGTGTCCTCCAGAAAAGAAAGATCTGGGGGGTCATTTTCTTTAAAATAACGAGAGGGTGCAGACACAGGGTAGGGATGGACCTCTCCTTCCTTTGCCACTTTAGCTTCAGCTGTCAAATAAGCATGCTCTGGAACCTCTTCTGTTACCTCACTATACTCTTGTTCCTCCCTGTCATCAGTGTGAAAAAGTTCCAAGGTGGAACGAACCAGACCCCAAACTTGCCCCATTGTTACCTTGATGCTTCCGAGCTCCCCTTCGTACTCACCACAGGGATTGCTTTAAGAGTACTCGGGTGTCCTCCAGCTTGTTTTCCATTCCAACTGTCACTGCAGTGACCCTTCGACCTGGATTCGAGCCCCCACAAATGGACGCCACTTACTGAGACCAGCTCGTTCGAGGAGACCCTAACCCAGCAGCGCTAGAATAATTAAAGACACACACAGAAATATAGAGGTGTGAAGTGGGGAATCAGGGGTCTCACAGCCTTCAGAGCTGAGAGCCCCGAACAGAGATTTACCCACATATTTATTAACAGCAAAGCAGTCATTAGCATTGTTTCTATAGATATTAAATTAACTAAAAGTATGCCTTACGGAAAGCAAGGGGATGGGCCGAATTAATTGCAGCAGGAACACGCCCTTAAGACACAGATCGCTCGGGCTTTTGTTTGTGGCTTAAGAATGCCTTTAAGCGATTTTCCACCCTGGGCGGGCCAGGTGTTCCTTGCCCTCATTCCTGTAAACCCACAACCTTCCAGCTTGGGCATTATGGCCATTATGGACATGTTACATTGCTGCAGATATTTTATTTATGGCCAGTTGTGGGGGGGCTTGCTTCCAACAGGGGCAAGTTTATAGCCAGATTTTGGAGGGCCTGCTCCCGACAGAGATATGGAAGAAAAATGTTCAGCCAGCCACTTGTCTACCACCATGGGAAACTGTCCATTGGGTCAGGGTCTAAGATCCCCAGTATACTTATTTGAGAAAGGCCACTAATTGGAACTAATGGAAGGTTAGCTCTGGTATTGACAGGGAGTATTTTCCCCATCTCACCAGGGACAGTTAGGACATTCTCATTGCTAATGGCCCTTTTGCTTATAGTAGACACACTGATTCTGGCCTAGAGGCCAGCAAGTCAGGGGTTCTTGTCTGGGAATCCCAGATGCTGATCTTGTGACACTTTCTTGGGATGAGCAATTTTGAGGTGGCAGGTGACTTTAAGCAACTGTTAACAATTTAACTTTTTGGCTATTTTGTGTGTGTGTGTTTTCCACCTCTTTTGCCCTGGCCCTATTGTTGTAAACTTTATAGGCCATGTTTAAATGTTGACTTATAGAGGTTTAAAGTCCCATTGCTGCTTTTTGTAGCTTCCTCCTAATGTCAGGGGCAGATTGAGTAGTAAAATGTATACCCAGGAGAGCTTGCCCTTCTGAGGAGTCTGGGTCTGCATTGATATATTTCCTGAGTGTCTCAAACAAATGACCCTGAAACAGTGGGATTTTTGTCTTTGAGTTATTTCTCTTGCCTTATCATAATTCACTGGCTTAACCACACACCTTTTCTTCTGCTTTTTTTTCCACAGCACAGCAAGCAGATGACAATACTTGCAAGTCATGACGAGTTGAATTTAAAAACATGGTTTATTTAACAAATTATTTTGTAAATTTTTCTGGATTCTCTGGCCAAATTTTCCCTTGTATAAAGCCAAATCACACATAGAAAATGGCACATGTACTCTGTTTCCTCATTTCTATCAGGCACCTCCCTCAGTGGACACAGGTTTGATTTTAGGGGCTGATATGGAGCCCTACTCCTGGTGGTACTGGTTGGGCTTACTTTCTCAGGCAGCAGGGGTGTATAGGCTGGGGTAGCTGGATAAGGGGAATGGGTACCCAATGACCTTGGGTGGAATTCTTCATTAGAGAACTGGCAGGAACCCCCTCAGAACTGGGGGACTGAGGAGACTCCAGGGAGACCATAGGCCTTCTAGGGGGAGCAGCTAGGAGGGGATCTCTTAGGCACAGCTTTCTGTTACTTAGAAGTAACATGAGCCAGTAAAGGACCATAAAAACCTGTACACAAGGGACCTCCTCTCATTTTCTTTCTTCTTTACAGAATGAGTCTAATGGTAAAATATTATTATAACATATAGAACCATGTTTAGGCCAAATCTATTGGTTTTCTAATTTGAATCGAATCCAAGTGGTATTGTATAGAAAATGAGTTGCTTTTTCTTGAGGCCAAATTTGAATTTGCTCTAATAGCCTAAAAGATAACCCTAGTGGCAATTCCTCTGGTATACTTGTCATTGTCCCATGTCCAACAAGGATTTCTACTGGACATAGTTTTTCTAAGTCTAGTGAAAGGGAAAGGAACTGGGCTTTTACTATGTTTCCCTTTTAGATTCTCACTTCCTGCTGAGAAGGTCTAAGTATAAGTAGCAAGGCATTATGAAAGTGGGTTAGAAGCATTTGCCAGTGAATGAACTATGACAAAAGGAGTATTTTTAAAGCAAAATGTAAGAGGAAAAGTGCAAATAAAGTGACAATAAGAAAAGAAGATGCTGTTATGGAGAATGAAAACTTTAGGGCAGGAAACAAGAAAAGGCAAGACCAATATTCCCCCTAGGGTGTGCCTCAAACCCACAATCCTAGAGGGAACATGAATGCTGAAAGCCCTGGAACATTCAGAGTGTGGCCAACAATATCAAATGCCAATAACCCAGAGTACCAGAGTATCAGCCAGTGAGGATCCCTACACCAAATGCCAGAAATTCCAGAGTACCTGGGGCTAACCAATGCCAATAACTTCAGAGCATCTAGGGGAAAGCCAACAGTGAACCCCAAAGGCCTGGTTGGAGCCACAGAACAATGTGACTCTAGCATCCCAGAGTCAACACAATGGGAGGGCTCTCACAACCAGGTGACCTGCTTTAAACAATTGCCCAAATACACTTAACAGAAAGTCAAAGCAAAAAACACTGCAGGCAAAACACATTTAAGAACTGAAAATAAAATGGCTGGTTATTTAAGAAAGAGATAGTAAAGACAAGTCAAAAAGTCCAAGCATGTTGTAAATGGTCTTTGTAAGTTGTGATAAGGTTCATGAAGGGGAATTTATGAAAGGAATTCTGTGTATGATTAAGCTAGCTGTAATTAAAATAAAATTGCTTAAAATAGACTTTCTACTTTGGGAGGTCAAGGTGGGTGGATCACCTGAGGTCAGGAGTTAAAGACCAGCCTGGCCAACATGGTGAAACCCCATCTCTACTAAAAATACAAAAATTAGCTGGACATGGTGGCAGGCACCTGTAATCCCAGCAACTTGGGTGGCTGAGGCAGGAGAATTGCTTGAACCCAGGAGACAGAAGTTGCAGGGAGCTGACAAGATCATGCCACTGCACTGCTACCTGGGTGACAGAGGGAGACTCCTCTGTCTCAAAAAAAATTAAAAATTAAAAACAAATAAAATAGACTTTCTAAAAAACGATCTGCATGTTAAAACCAAACTTTCTTGAGGTACTGGTTTGCTAAATTATGGGAAATTTTGCTTTCAATACTATAACCGGTTGTGTTTTTTCTTTTTTAAGCTTCTCAAATTAGTGTTTCCAGTCCTTTCTGGGCCATCTCTTCTCCATCTTTTAGATTTCTTTGGACTCCATCATTCTTTCTGATCTAATTACTGATACAAATTTCACTCACACACACAATCGTCATTGTGAATATTTTTAATGTCTAATGTGTGTGAGAAAGACTATTTCCAGGTACTTGGGTTTTTATCAATGTTTACTAAAATTATAATTATAAAACCTGATTTTGCATAAGGCTTTAAATTCAAATTACAAATCTTGAAATTCTGTCTATAAATGCACTAAGTGTTGTTTTTTGAAAGAAATCACTTCCGCTTGTTCTTTGATTGATGTTTAACTCAAACAGATTTACATTTTGTTAGCAATTAGTCCTATTTACAAAGTTAGTACATTTTTTATAACTGATATAAACCATATTCATGTGCTTAATGTATTGGATTTTTTTTCCTCATGCCTTTTCATTACCTGACAAGGTAGAATCCTTATATGCAAAATCTTTCTCATCACTTAAGCAACTCTTGTAAATCTAATTACCTGATTTGCCATGCTCAGATGTTTGATTTGTCCTAAATGTTCTAATACTGCTTATAAGCTTCAGCAGCATCTTATACCTTTCAACTAAAACTCATCAGTCTAAAATCAACACATATTTCAAGTTGAAAACACAATTTAAATTGAGGTTTAACTTAAATTCACACTGGTTTTTAAAATTTATCTTAAACTTGACATCACAATATTATAATTTACCTCACTGATTCTATACTAAGTTTCACACCTTGTCAGAGTTGTAGAGTCGTTCATCCCACTAAGCAAAGCAATTTGACCTTCTCAGGAAGATTCTGGTTATTAGGTCAAAAACTTAGTACCTATTATGGAATGAATGTTTGTGTCCCCTCCTCCTAAAAAATTTATGTGTTGAAATCCTAACCCCCAATTTGATGGTATTAGGTTGGTGCAAAAGTAACTGTGGTTTTGCCATTTAAAAAAAAAAATGGCAAAAACCACAATTACTTTTTCACCAACCTAATATTAGAAGGTGGAGCCTTTGGGAGATAATTAAGGCATGAAGGTGGAGTTCCCATGAATGCAATTAGTGTCTTTCCTTATAAAAAGAGATACGAGCACTCATCCTCACTCTCTCTGGTCTCCACCATGTGCAAGAAGATAGATATCTACCAACTAGGAAGACAGCGAGCCCTCATCAGGAACCAAATCTGCTGACATCTGGATCTTGAACTTCCCAGCCAACAGAACTGTGAGGAATAAATGTATTTTTTTCTAAGTCAGTGGTCACCAACCTTTTTGGCACCAGGGACCAGTTTCATGGAGGACAATTTTTCCACAGACTGGAGGGTGCAATGGTTTCGGGATGATTCAAGCACTTTTATTGTGCACTTTATTTCTATTATTATTACATTGCAATACATAGTAAGATAATTATACAACTCACCATAATGTAGAATCACTGGGAGCCCTGAACTTGTTTTCCTGCAACTAGACATCCTTTCTGGGGATGATGGGAGATATTGACAAGCCATCAGGCATTAGATTCTCACGAGGAGCACACAACCTAGATCCCTCACATGCGCAGATCATGACAGGGTTCATGCTCCTATGAGAATCTAATGCTGCCTCTGCTCTGACAGGAGGCAAAGCTCAGGCAGTAATGCCAGCAATGGGGAGCAGCTATAAATACAGATGAAGCTTCACTTGCTTACCTAACACTCACCTGCTGTTAGCACAGTTTCTAACAGACCACAGGCTGATACTGATCAGTGACCCAGGGACTGGGGACCCCTGATTTAAGCCACCCAGGCTTAAACCATCTCAAGGTGGCTGTTGAATTGTAATCTTTATAATCCTTTGGTTACCTATACAATCCTTGGCCCTGAAGTTGAATTTTGGAGACCAAAACTGTGGCTGTACCCACTAAGAGTATTATATTTTTTCCAGTGTAGATATCAAAAGGAGGAAGAATCCCTCATTATATACCATGGTATTCTGTTACAGCAGCCCAATTGACTAAGACAGTGCTATAAAATAGTTACTTGTCAGATTGAAGAGCAGGACAAGAGAGCTACATGCTGCCAAGGTAATTCTCACCAGTGACCTCATGAGCATTCTCCTGGTAGATTTACCTCTGCTGACCACAGGCCAGGTTTTTGGCTGGACTGTTTCACAGCTCACATCAGCAGGGCATCTTTTGCATTGTGCCTTCTCCCGTCTTAGGTAGATGGAACAGTACTGCTCCCGTACCTGGATCCTTAGCAAGTTTTCCTCACTTAATAAGTTCTGCATTCTGTATTGCATTTTTCTTGTCTCACCAGACCTGTTAATGGCCTTGTCTAACCCTCTAATTGAGGGTCATCAGACCCACATACACCTTTTCTCTTTCATACACATCTGGCCTGGCCTCTAAATCCTCATACTCCTTTAATATTGTCTAGCTTGGGCCGGGCGCGGTGGCTCAAGCCTGTAATCCCAGCACTTTGGGAGGCCGAGACGGGCGGATCACGAGGTCAGGAGATCGAGACCATCCTGGCTAACACAATGAAACCCCGTCTCTACTAACAAAATATAAAAAACTAGCCGGGCGAGGTGGCGGGCGCCTGTAGTCCCAGCTACTCGGGAGGCTGAGGCAGGAGAATGGCGGGAACCCGGGAGGCGGAGCTTGCAGTGAGCTGAGATCCGGCCACTGCACTCCAGCCTGGGTGACAGAGCGAGACTCGGCCTCAAAAACAAAGCAAAAAAAAAAATTGTCTAGCTTGTCTTCAAAGACCATAAACCTTTCTCCCAATGAAATTTCCCTCTTCCTCCATCTTAATCGCCTTTTATTTTTCTTTTGTTTTTATTTATTTTCACTGCACCTGTTCCAGAAGAAAGACTAAATTCTATGTTGTTTTGTTGTTGCTGCTGCTGTCTTTAACTAGTTCTTCCTTGATTCCTTGAGCAAATCTGATTCTTAGAATGTTTTAAACATAGGCATTTTAATTGCCTTCTTGAGCCTTTGGGTTTGCAGTAAGTTCAGTTATCTCTGTATCTTAACAAGAAAATGGTATATAATGAGGGATTCCTCCTCCTTTTGATATCTACATTGGAAAAAATATAATACTCTTAGTGGGTAAAGTCACAGTTT